CTATAAAACATTAACAGAGGTTGCTAGTAGCTACCTGGGCTGGCCTCTAAATTGAGACAACAATTACCCTTCGCTGACATCTAGTGTCAAGGCATGAGATATAGTTGGAGTGCTGAATCCATTGGCCTGGAAATCCTGCACTTCCCCAGCGATTCAGGCTCACCCAAGAAGACGCAGCACTGGACATAATTAGTGGACACGAGGGATTAACTTGGCACTCAGTGTTGACTTTGTAGCAGCACTAGGTTATTGAATGAAATGCAGCACTGCCAAGGTCTTAAAAATCTTGTAATGTTTAATGAAGGAATGGTCATTAAACTTGCTGGATCAAATATTAGGCAAGATGGAACTGGGAGGTATTTAATAAGGAGGTGTGAAAATATGAACTAAATCACATACACTCGTTTAAAAAGCTGGCAAAAGCCCAGCATATTTCAAAATTTTCACTGCTGGTTTAAGGTAGATGCTATTGAACTATGAGAATATTAAGTAGGTTTTAGCTTTCTATGCAACTTCACAGCAAGTTTTTCTACTATAGAATTATTTCTTCTTAATTGAAACAATTTAGAATTCATACACTGATGAGATTGCAAATAAATGTTCTCTAGTGAGTTCTCATGGTGAGCAATATTCACACATATAAGTGAGGTTTTTCATACCCTTTGTCAAGCTGAATCCTAAGGTCTCAGAGTCCCCTTTTCTACTCATATCTTATTAAAATTGGATAAATTGTGTGTACTGTATGGCTGTACCTGTAGCCAGGCAAAGCAGAAGAAATCAGGGCTATCTACAACTTCAAGAACAAAATAGTCAAAACAGTTAATTTTTTCCCTTGAGTTTTGTAAGAAACCCCTTTATTCAGAATTCATTGGATTTTGTGAAGAAAGACAATATAAGAAATAAGCTTGAAATGCAGCATTTGAGGGAGGTTTATAGCAAATTTAAAAAAAAATAAAAAGATGTGTAGATATTTGAATATTTTTAAGCAAGTTTGTTTCCTTATTTCTTGTACCCCATTCTAAATACAAACAGATGGTTGTGTTGTTATTCTCCAAGATATTGCTGGATTCAAAATTTAGTTAAACATATGTAAATAATTGGCATCATTACACATGTACATGAGTATTCACAATGGTACCCATATAGGAAGTTTAAATTTTGGAACGTGAAGGGAAGAGAGAACATCAGTATAGCTTACATTACAATTGTCTGAAGAGTGAGATATATATAAAACAAATAATATATTCAGTTAAGGTAAGTTTATTCAAATGATTAGGTGAGCAGCTGTGCACAAGTAAGTAGAGGAACAGAAAAGAAAAATCATTAATGCTAATTTCAGAAGAGGCTAAGGGTACCATACTAAGTATTCCTGATGAAATGCTTCTTCAGCTATAGTCATGATATACTTCACATCCATATTATCTCATTGTTGGATTAAGTTAGTGGCATTTTTGTTGAAACCAGGATAGCAAATGTTCCTGCAATTCAGGTGGAAGAATGTACTGTATGGGTGGCAAAAACAGGCTGTTTCATGTCTTTATGTCAACAGGTTCAATCAAAAACCCTTATGGTTCATGTCTGGAGGCTATTTTATCTAAAATGCTATACTAGAAGGGCAGCAGTGATAGAAAACGGTTGTACTTGACTTCCTTTCTGTCACAGACTTGCATATGCTCGGTCTTTCAGAATTTATTCTACTGAAAGTTTGAATTTATAAAATCAAGTATGAGAGGTTTGGATCCAAGTTCTACTTCATCAGCACCTTCAAATGATTTATGAGAGGATTTTTCCCCTTTCAAACATCTCTCAGTAGCCTTTCTTGCAATGACTTCTTCCAAATCTTGTTTGAGCATAAATTTTCTAACATTTCCAATTGTTATTCAGTGTATTTGCTTCACTTTTTCCCTAGTTCTGAAAGTCACAGTGTTAGTTGATATTTTTCACCTTTTCATATGTGGTGTGCAATAATTGGATTTCTGCATGAGAACTGGCTTTCAGAACTGTTTCAGTGCACACTCACATGACTGATATCCTCATAACCATCCACCCTGAACTACTCTCAACTTTCCTAAATGAGATTTTATTGGAACTGATTATGATGAGATAAATGGGTGACTTCACTAATGTGTAATACACTTTTCAATTATAGAGTACGTATGATAATTTACATTTCTTGTTTGATAGCATGATATTTATGTGACATTCTGGATGAGATCTGCTCCTGTTCCTATAATGGGCTTCTCCTAAATCCACTTTCAAATGCTTTCAAAATCTTTTAATTTTTTTTTGGATAAACAAAGATGTTACAAATCCACCTTAATCTGTCCTTCAATGGAATGAAACCTACCAGTGGATAAATTCTAGTCCTGGAATTTGTTGCCTAAGAAGTCAGATTCTGCCATCAGCCTAACAGGTGCAAATAATGTGGATTGGAATAGGAAAACTTAACAGGCTTATGATTTCTGTCTGAACAATCATTGAGTCAGATGATCATAGGATAACTCAGGCAGGAATGACCCTCTGGAGGTCTGTAGTATAGTACTTTGATTAAAATAGGATCACTTGTGAGATCAGACCAGGTTACTCTGGGCTTCATCCAGATTTGTCTTGAAAACCTGTAAGGAATTACCTGAATCATCTTCTCCACTAAAATAATTTATTTTCTAGCCTGATTTTGACTCTATAAGTATTCCCAAGGAGTAGCCAAAAAGAAATCTCCTTCCAATTAAAACTATTGTATTCAGTTATGATCATGCAAACAACCAGTCAGGATTTATTTAACCTTCAGCCAGCTGCTTAACCAAGTTGAAATTATTGATAGCCCATGAGTAGTGATCAAGATGGAAAGGTTAAATGAAGAGGTGGCTTTTATTCTTCTCCCCCCACTCCTGTTGTTTTGTAGTTTTTGATTTTGTTTTGTTTTAAATAATAGAACACATGGTCAAGGAGATCAGCTGTAGAATGGAAATAAAACTGTTAAGTTACGGCTGCCCTCCAATCAGTCACGGGGGTAATGATGTTTGGCTTTAGTCAGGTTATATGTCAGTAAATATACATCTCTTAGACAGCCTTTAAGACAGCCTTAAGCTTATGCTTATTGTTTTATATAGATAGGGGTCGGATGCTGATATATGGTGGTCATAGGCCACTGGAATAAATTTAACAACATTCAGCAGGTAAAGTTAATCTCAATAGAACAGAGTGTGACTGCAGTTTTGATAGAATATGCGTTCCATCGACAGTGATGGGGTATTTTTTCTCTTTCAAGTTAATCTAAGTTAAGATAATCTTTTTCCCCTGCCTTGATTCTAAATTTATCACTACCTGAAGTAACCAATTACATCCAGTCTTTAATGTAGGGCCTTGGCAAGCTCAAAATTCCAGCTTGTAACACCACTGATGAGCTGTATTCTTCTCACCTGCCCTGTTCACAGGAACACATGAGTCAAATACAAAAGTAATGAGACCTCAGAATTTCAAATTCCTGCAAGTACTGGAAAACACAGAAGTCTTCTCCTTTATGTGTAGTGATTGTGTAAACTCTGTCTTAAGAGTTAAGGACTGAGACAAGACAAGACAACACCAATACAGACATTCTAGACTTACATAAATGAAAACATTACTTAAAAGCCTTACTATAGATTTAGAAGAACAATACCATGTTTTTTTCTGATTATTTAAATTTCTCCTTGAGATTACTGTTAAATAATTTGCATCTATTTGCAAGTACTGGGGCCATGCCTTCTATTACTATAGATTGACATTAGTTACTAAAATCCACTAAGTCTATCTTGTGAGAGTTCAGCTGCACCACTCAAGTTTTTTTAATGCCATACCATTAGATGTTATAAAAAGCAGAACGTCCCATTATGCCAGCCTCTACTCTTACTAGTATCCAGTATTACCATTCCACAGACTAAGAAAATATAGAAATACAGTCTACAGGCATGCAATTACATGCCTGTTCGCATTTCATGTACCATCAATGCAAAGAGACTAGAATTTGATAAAGCCATTTATGGTATTCCATAAGTAAAACTTGCTTTTAGACTTAGTATGTAATTAATGTTCGCTTTTTGGTTAGCAAAAATGTCTGTAAATGCAGGGTTAAACTAGAGCACCAAGCTGCTGTATAGTATAGCAACAGCCATTAATCCAGAACAGAATAACAAGATAGGTTTAGTTTACTAGTATTTATACAGAGCTATGACTTAGTCCAAAAGTTTTATTTTCTGTTTTAATTGTCAAATATCCATTGAATTCATGGAGAATTTTCCTGGATAAAGTACAAGACGGAAAAAAAAACAGGTAACATCCAGGATTGCCAACAGAAATTGTTCACAAGAAGCTGAATGAATATGATGATTGAAATGTTAAGCTTTGCTGGTGTTTTGCTCTTTTAAGTTCTTGTAGTCTTTAGCACAGTAACTTCTTTGTAAGTCTTTAGGCTACATACTAATGTGAAATAATTAAAGAATTCTGATTGTTACCAATTATATATGCCCTTATTTGATCAACAATAGAAAATAGCACAAAGAATGATTGCAAACTCCATTCTCAGCTGAATTCTACTGAAAGCATATCGCTTAGCCTTTAAACATGCAAGGCTGCTCAATAGGCAGTATTCATACTAGCTATACAGAGCTGATACAGTTTGTACTAATGAACCACTAATAAACCCAGAACTGATAAAGGAAGACAATCTTCTTTATCCCTTGCTTGGGAGAAAGGAAGAAGGAGCTGCCTATTCAACAAAGGAATTAGTACGCACCTCTGAGGAAAAGAAATGGCAGCTACAGTGAAGAACAAGATTTGTTTGTATTTTAATAAACTTTAATAGATGTACTTAAACTGAAGGGATAACTTGTTTAGCCCACAAGTGTGACCATTACTTAAGCTGTTGAAGGCTGGTCTACCATAACACACTTCTTGAGGCTGTTTATGAAGCCTAGTGTCAGCATCATCTAATATTTAATTTTGTTACTTTTAATGTTAACAAGGACCCTGTTGGACAGGTAGCCACCTGGAGGAGAAGCCCTGAAAGCAGCTATGTTCATCACCTTGGCTGGCCAGAATCCCTTCAAGAAATAGCTCTGCTGCACATACAGTTGGATGAGTGCTCCTGATGAACAACCCTTTGACAATGAAAAACCAAAACCACACCAGAAATTCAGGTAAGCCCAAATTCACTGCCATTGAAAGTATGGCACAAACATTGTTTGTACATTGAAGACTGACAGAACTTTAGGAAGCGGATGCGACTTCAGTTATATATATGACTTTGAATTTAGTAATACCAGATGTCTGATTGTAAACATACATATACTAATCAAAATGTTTAATTAAATAAACAAGTGTTAAAATGTTTGCTTTTCTGTGACTTAAATTCTGGGTTGCTTCTCTGAGAGCCCTGGCCTGCAATCTATGAATTTGCTTAGTATTGTCACCTTCCAAAAGAACAATTCTTTCTGTGATTGAGAAAAGCTTTATATTTGTATACGTTATCATAGCATTGTTTTTTCTTAAGAATTCTGTTTCATGCATTCTAATATCCAAAAGCTGCCTGCTTGCCTGCTAAGCCCCCAGGCAGACGGTGCAGATGGTGTTGTGCTCTGAGTTTCATCATGCCCTCAACAAGCATTTCCAGTGGGGTCCATTTGAATTTGGCCTAAAATTCATAAGAACTTCAAATCTTGCTTGCATGAAAATCTCTTGGATTTTTTGCCTTCTAAGCACAAGGCAGAATTCCTTGTAATTGCTTCAAATAACTCTGCTAGTAGCCTATGCACATTTCTTACCACAAATACCTCAAAGCTTACTATGAAATGATGACGACAGTTACTGTGAAGTCCCCCAGTGACTGAGTGGTCCTGACCTACTAAAATGATGCATCAGTTTATATGTACGTGGCTAAATGTGTCTTCAAGCAAAACTATAATTCCACTAAAATGGTTATGTAAAATGAAAGCAGGCTGCAGGATTTCATGAAGAGTAATAACCTGGCTTTTTCCTTGTTCTCTTTCTTTTATGTCATATAGGTTTAAATAGAAGTGTTTTATTCTGCTTTGGTTTGCTTTAAATGGACTAACAAATCTAGCTATGTGACAAATCAGGTGAATTGCTATAAGGAACATCCCATTACACTTAAAAGAAATGTTACTGTGGTTTTGTTTCCTATGATAGTTGGAATTCAATTTGTTCTGCTGCTGTAACATGTTTGAAACACATCGTGAATCTGTTATCTGACTTTTCTGCTGGTGGGAGAAAGGAGGAGAACCGGTAGCCTTTGCTGCTGCTGTTAAGTCTCCATCCCTTGTGGGATTGTGTGTGCGCGTGTGTGCTTTGTTTCCTGTTGTGGTTTGTTTTGTTCCAAGCACTTCTTACAGGAATGCAATCCTGAGGTACAGGAGGCTTACTCTGTTAAAGTACCTGATGAGCACCTGGTAAACCTAATGATACACAGAAGACTTGATTAATCTGTGGGCCTATGTGGATAGTCTTATCCTAAACCCTAATAAAAACATTTACCCTACTGTCAGACCCAGAACATCAAACGTTTACCTTGTAGAGTAGCGTGGATTCTGGTGAGCATGCCAATCTGAATAGAAACTTGATACCAGTCTTGACCTGTGGGTCAGAAGAGAAATTATCAGGTGGCTGCAGATAATACCAGAGAACTCATGGCTGTTATTAAATCTCTGTTGAGAAGTAACTGAATTGTTGGAGCATATCAGTGTTTCATACCTTGAAATTTTGTGGGGTCACTAGTCATGAACCCTCAGTTGATATCGTCATGTTCCAGCTGCACCTCAGCATCAGCAGCTGGACCACTGGCATTTGAAATAGCCAGCTGGAGGATTTGGGTTTGTAGTTGCTTTCTGGTAGGTCTAGCTGGCCCACGTCTAACAGTACAGTTCCAATAAGCTGGCCTTTACTAATGGAATAATACCGCTTCCGAACACCCTGGGCATACAGTGCTAAACTGTGTAGTAGCACCTAGCTTATCACCTTTCTCGCCCTTGAGCCAGCTATTAGGACAGAAGTCAGGCTAATACTGAGCAGTTTGGAAAGACCCCAAATAATTCTGTAACTATTGTCTCTGTTATTTTTATTAAATGAGATTCCTTTGTTTGCTTGTTTTTGATTTACCAGTGATTACAGTGATTTTATCGAACAGTGGTTGGAGTCTGTAAACACACAATCACCTTTTCTTTGAGAAGTTTCTTGATGGATTTTCCTTATGGTATTACTGTAATCTGTACAGTTATCAGATCAGTGTGGCAAACAAATCTTTTCTCATAGATATCAAGATATTAAAACAAAATTATCTCAAGCCTGAGATAATTTACCTGCCTTTAGGTAGGTAGCATTTATGCAAGGAGGTATTTATTTACAGCCTTATTCACAAGATTGTTAATTGAAACATTTTAAAGGGATTTTAGAAATGTTCTGTGCTTATCTATCTGATGTTCCCACTCTCTGCTCCCCATTATTAATAGGCTTTTCAGAGGTAGAAAACTACAAATACAAATTTGTAAAACCAAGACTGAATTTGCTTCATATTTCAGGGCATGGATAATGTGTAAACAAATACAACTTACCTGGACTACAGCCAATTTGTTTTTGACAAAATACATTGCAGATTATTTAATGTATATCAAATACCATTTTATGCATTTATATTTTCTATAGCATTCTATAGCTATTATTTTTGTTAAATGCTGATCCTGGTCCTAAATGAAAATGATCCTATCATCAACATAAACATAACAGGCTTTACCTTCGAAACCCACCAGGATAATTTTTTACGGGACTCTTAAATGTTAGGGAGGTTTTTGGTGGTGGTGGTTGGTTGGTTTTTAAGTTAGATGGTATTAACTAGTCTGTTCACTACAAGACAATTTTAAATTTTATTTTCCAATAACAACTTTCCATTCAAAGATGCTCTAAAACTCTGGGCTTGTATAGCACTTTAAAAACAGGTTTTCTAAGACTTCATGTGTAATTAATGATGCTTCATTAGCTTTTTTATGCAAATATCATGATGTGAAAAAAAAAAACACTTGCTACCAGGAAACCCATAGTTAAACGGACTCTATATATGTGAAAATTGAGCAAAAACTGAGAATTTGTTTCTGTCTGAACTACAAATAGCATGAAATTTTTCGGAAGCTATCCATATGATCATCATATGTTAACTTTCTGCAGTTAATATATAAACAGTAGGGCCCATTTCAGGAAAACACTTAAGCAGGTATTTGAAGCTATTGACTTCTGTAAGCATGTGAATAAGGGCCTTCCAGAAGAGCGACCCTAATTATCATTCTTATGACTTAAATAAGGTCAGCTATATCTGCACACCTTCTCAATGCAGGAAGCAAAGATTCAGCTTCAAAGTTAACACCTTAAGGGTTTGTATTTTCCTCATGTAATACATTAAGTTCCTTCTGTTTGAGAATGAGAAATATTTTAAACTATTTTTGAACAGTTTGTCAGGGACTTTTGTTTTTTTCCTCCTCTTTCCCCTCTGGTCAGGCTTAAAAAGTATTAAGTTATAGGTCTCTGAATTTTCTGTTCAAGCACAAGGTTTACTACCAACCAGTTCTGACTGTTCTGTTTAATATTTGATCAGTGTGTGGAAAGGCTTTTGTCTAAAGGGAACATATGATCAGTAATGAGTTTGTGGTTTTTTTTGTCTTGCTGAAAGTTGGTTGTCTCCTAGCAATGCTTTTAACACTATGAAACTGCTTCTGTGTTTTACACTGGTGTACATTGTATTCAGACTTAAAAGCTTTAAATCCATGCAAGGCATTCATTATGTCAATACTTTATTATCTTTATTTTTTTACCCTTTCATAATTACCTGTATATTATCATCCAGTATTATTAGTGTCAAAACTCACCTTTCAGATTTAAAAAAAAAATTGTGTACCTATTTTTTCTGTTTTTTTTTTTTTTTTATGAAAAATAATTATAACAATTTTAATATGTAAAAAGTTCTTATTTAAGGCATGTCTCTATGTTAAAGAAATAAATTTTAAAAAAATTGCTACTTTATAATGAATGAATGGAAAGAATTTCTTAAAAAATCCGTTCATGTGGTTATGGTTCCATATGATTTTTTTTTACACTGATAAAGCTTATTCCTGTAAAGATGTCTTTTTAAGACTTCAAAAGTACCTTTTAAAGTGATGTACCTTCATATATGTCAAGATTTTTGCTAGCATGATAGCATCAGAAAAAACAAGTCATATCCTTTTCTGTAATTACATTGGTGTGATTGATTGTTCAGTATTGATTATTACTCCTGTGCTGGTATAGATTCTTCTTTGCTACTTATGATCTACAGAAAATCACTGAAATAATGATTTGCATCGTGTCTTTAAGATTATTTTAAAGAAGAAAGCAAAACTTTTCCAGCCGTTTTTCTTAAAGTAGACACCATTCCAACACAAAAATGTTTTCAAGAGCTACTAACACAAGTTCAGCATTTTGTAATAGGCTGCCCAAGAAGTATGTTGATGTCCAGAAAATGCAAGGCAAGTAATCAAGTAGTAAATTTCTAAGTTTACATAAATGATCTGAGAGTACAGTTCAAGTCTATGCAAAAATGTTTAATTCAGCATTTTACTGAGGCTTATAAATGAGATCTTAGCAATATCTTTGTATGGGGTTTTTGGATTAAGCTCTATCTACTTGCACCCTATCTTCACTGAACAGGTTTTTTACCGTTGTAAGCCAAAGTATCTTTTTCTTATTTTTCTTACTGGCACTTAAAAACCTGCCCTCTACAACTTAGTCCAATTTCAAGAAAAAACATAAAAATATCAGGGAGGAAATGGGGAAAAAAGTTCATTAATATATATCCAGAATTCAGACACCCTTTAAAATGTCAATCTTTTTATTATGTTCACACAACAAAAGCAAGCTTGATCACAGGTTTGTAACAGAACATTTTAACTCTTTGTAGCATATATTTCTAAATACTTATCAGAAAGCAATTTATTAACCAATTAACATAGAAGTTAAGCAAATTAGTCCCTGATAGAGCCAGGACAGATATGCTAAACTTTTTTTTTTTTTTTAACCACCTCTCCATTTCAAGTGACATACAAAGTTACCTTAGGACTATGAAGATGGTAAGCTTTAGCATTAGAAGGAGGTATTTTACTGTACAAGTGTTTTAATATTTTACAAGTGCTTTAATATCAAACATTCACTGCAATGAATACTCTTGCCCAGTTACCACTGAAGAATACAGCACAGTAACTGATTGATGATTCTTCTCACTATCTTTGCAATACAAGAGACTACAAGTACAGCGTGTTTCAAAATGCAATCTATACTTTTAATGTCTAGTGCACTTATATTATAGGGTCCAGTGGTGATTGGCACATTCAGCTTTGAGAAAACACTATTTAAAACTTTCAAACTAAGAAGATATCACGTAGTATTGAAAAACACATCTAGAGATAAAGTACAGTCTTTAATCACATGAGCATCAGTGTACAAGCTTTTGGAATCTAGTGGAATACTCTCATGAATAAAGGTGTCTGGAACTGACCTGTGCTTTTCTTGCACTTGGTTGCTGAAACATAGAGGTATTTTTATTAATTAAGATGAATTATTCTGTTATTTTTCATAGGCAGTTTCTGAAAGCAACTATAACGTTATTTTCTGAGATATTTGTCTTGCCTTATAGCAGGTGTTTCATCACTGTCAGAAGAGCTCTCTGTGTAGTTTCCAATGAAGCCTCACAAACATGCAAATCCCATTAGTAACTCCCCTACTAGAAGGGAAGTGGATTTAACTAGAAGTCGACACAATTGTAAACCTCACTCCAAAATAATAATAATAATAATTTAAAAATCCACAACTCTTTTTTTTTTTTTTTTTTTTTTTTTAAATCAGCTCTGGACCTGGGTATGATTAGCAGGAAAATCTGTCTACAGCACTACAAGGAATAATTAAGCTGTAAATTTCATCTTTGTTTGCCAAATGGGAAACAATATTTTTTACCACAGGCTCCCCCTGCCCCAACTTCGTCTGTCTAGACAAACATAATTAAGTAATGGCTGATGGTTTGTTAGCATTTTATTACATGTGTTTGCAAGGGCATTAAGAATAATCATAAAATGAACAACAAATGTTATAGGTATTGAGATTTTCAGCAGTGGAAAACGTGACTTTTTCAAATCAGATGGGCTGGAAACGTATATTCCTACAAATTAACTGTTCCTCTATGCAGAACAGCAATTGAGATACTTCTGTCTTAGTTGATTTACATACACTAATTGCTAGTGCCAATTCCTAGTTCCTATTAAGCATTGAGTTAACCTGCTCAATAAAACTCATAAATTAATATTTTCAGATAGCAGGTATTGACAAATAGCAGGAAACAGTAAATTTGCACTGGATTATCCTTTCATTTAGGAACCTGTTTGTTGCTTTTGTATTCAAACAAATAATCTAGTGAAGCAGTCAAAATTTGCAAGCTTTTGTATGTGTATATTATGTAAATGTATGTCTATGTATATATTTATATAATGGTAGAAGTTGCATGCAGACAGGGATGGAAATATTTAATTTTTTTTTTCACTTTGACTAAGTCATGTGATCAAGATGTCTCTACTAAAGTGACTCATTTATCTGGCTGGGAAATAATTATGTTTATATTTTGCTGCTGAACCTCTAAAGCAGATTGAATTCTCCATATACAGGACCTACAGGAATAATCCATATTTATGGCTAATGCAGTTCAAAGAAAAATCTGAGCTGACATTTGTAAAAATTCTTTGCAGCTGAATTTTCCCCAAAAAAACATTTAACAGCTTAGTTCACTACCATATGGCTCATTTGTATCTTAATCAATGCACAGCTGACAACACAGAGGACAGTATCATAGGCACGATCTGCCTTGGCAGCCGGTGGCAAAGGGAAGCCACAGACTTCACAGGCAATGCTCAGCTATAGTACTATTGACGGAAACTGTACAGACTTCACAGCAAAATGCACATACCCAATATATTTGTAGATATATATACACACAGTCATATATATATTATATATATAAAATAAGTTCTGCAACACGGTAACTTACAGATGTTCTGACTCGCCTTTTTTTCTTTCTCCTAGGTTTAGTAAAGGCTTCAAGTCCATAACTGACAACCCTGGAGATCTGAGTACACTTCTAGTGTATGTCCTCCTCACGGTATATGAAGAGGAAGTTCAGAGATAAGAGGGTCTCCATGCTCTTGCTGGAAGTATGAATGTATAAAGTATGATGAAAAAAAGCATGCCATACAAAGCAAAAATGAAGATGTTAGAAAATGTTTATGAAGAGAAGCGTTATTTCTGTTATGCCAAGACACTTTCTCAACTGAAGAGGCACAAAATCGCCACTCCTGGAATTTCAAGTGAAACCTCAACTCTGTTTATTCTTGGAAGTTAGTGAATTTTAGTGTCACCTTTGACCGAACGGCCTGAATTCTGTTCCTGTTGTATTTATATTGACTTCACAGAGAACAGACTGGAGCCCAAGAAGTCATAATTAAGTAGGAAAGAAGTATGAATGAGCATACGAAGAAGATTCCAAATTTAGGATTCTAGTGTAGAGTATTTCTGCACAGTTTTGAAGATAAAACATGTCCTGCATGAAGTTAGAATACTGATAGTAATAACACAATTGCATGGATGTAATTTGTTATCTCTCTGCCTGGTATGCATGTGGATTTGTAACAAATGTTTTTACTTGTTTGGTACTGTGATACTTCTGATGTTAATTATTAGTAATCAGTAATAATAGTAATAATAATAATAGCAATAATTAGTAATTATTAGTAATTAGCGCTTCACTACAGAAAGGAATGGAGAGGTGTGGATCCAGTATGAAGCTGGAAAACATTGATGCAAAGATTCAGAATTTCTTCCCTCTTTCATGAGAGAATAAAATTTCAAAGGTTTTAAATGACTTCAACTTACTAGGTGAAGACATCACTCAATTCTGGATTGTCCTTTTGTGACACAAAATCACTTTTTTTGACACTATCTTTACTGTTGTGTGAAATGTTTACAGTATGAGCAATGCAAATGTCAAAGAGAAATTCCACTTTGAGCCATTGAAGACAAGTTCATGGTTCTGGCTAAAATTTGATTCTGTGAAAGGTTAATTTTGAATTTGTTAGAGCCCAACTCTCTAAGCAAAAATTATAGTGACAAAATTTATAATGGGTAAGAACTAAAACAAATGTTCATTAGTAATATCTGTATTTTACATGTCTTTTTATTTCTTCTTAATAAGTGTCCGAACTCCAACAATTATAGCAGCTGATTCTCAGTACCTTTAATGAGATAGTCATGACTGTTGTGTTTTGCATCTCCAGTTCTGACAGTACTTTGTGATGTATTTCTGGGGCTAGTGAAGATGAGCGCTATTGTTCAGTATAAGTTAGATACTCTATATATCTAAAATTCAGGCTTTGTGTCTTAGTGGCACATCTAAGTTTAGGACTGCTAAAATTAGTAGCCCCCTTAAAAAAAAAAAAGTGTCACATAAGGCACTGATAAGGTACCGTGGCTTAAGATCAGAAAATAAAAATAAGAAGAAAAGAATTAAGGTGCTTCTCTCTGATTTGCACAGACATTCAGATGCTGCTTTCAATTTCTGTCTTTTTGACATTCACATGGTATAATATAAAGGTTATAAATCATGCTTGTGAGCCAGAATACTTGTTTTCACTGTTAGAAGGCACGTTAATGGTATTAAAACTTTTGTGAAACTTGAATGCCTTCCATGTTCTTTTTTTTTAGATAAGAACTGTAAATAACAGGCCATTTTGGAGTATAATAAATGATCCCTTACAAAGCCTAATAATAACTTAGTTTAGTTATAGCCCTTCTTCTAGCAATAGACAGCTTACAAAAAATATTCCTACAGCATACACATAATTTTAGAGATCTGGAATAAAGTTTTGGAGCAAGTCCATTAATCTGCTTAGTACAAGTACGACACTTACTAGGAATATCTTTAACCTAATTCCCATTTTAGGAAGCTGCCTTATCTTTTGGGGTTTCAGTTTGCCAATAGGACTCCCTTTGCAGGTATTTCCTTTCAACTCAGACTACTGCTTATCCTCATTGATCAAATCTCATCAATCAGGTACTAAAGATTTATAAAGTAGTTTAAAAATAATAATTTAAAAATTAATGAAGTCTGCATGCCTCTGAATTTGGAGTCTCCGAAGAATCATATTTTCCAGATTTTATTGGAACCCTCAAGAGTAATATTTAAAGTTTTTTAAATTAATTAAAGCACCGACTCCTACTTAACCACACAGCCTTGGAAGTTGCAAATTAAAAAAGATAACAAGATCTGTGAGATAGCTGAGAGGCCAAAATAATGCAGCCATATTATGAGCACTTACAGTAACTTTATAGTGTTCTTTACCTATGATCTGAGCAGATACCCATTTTAAAGCAAAATAATGTTTGTCTTGAGGAAAAAATATAATAAAAAATGAAGTCCCATTCAGAGAAATATATGCACTTTTTTGCTTCTAATGATGTTGTCATTCTGCATTCAGTCCAGGACATGGAAAGAAGTATAAAAAATACAACACATTAATGTGCTGTTTATCGTAAAAATAATTAATTAGACGACCTTCAGTTTGAAACAACACAACAAACAAAACTATTGGAAAAAAAACACGTGCTCTTTTAGTGTGTTTTGCCTGCTTGTCGGTCCTGTTCTTTGCGTAATTGTAATACCGTCGCATTGCCACAACATGTGAACAACTACAGACGTGCAAAAACTCTGAAGTTAGAGTTGTGTCTGGGAAGAAACATTAATAATGAAAATTACTTATTTTTAGTGGGCATTTTTTTTTCCTTCTAATTTTATGATGCAGTCAGATTTGTTCTTGAAGAGAAAGGTGCCACATTCTTGCTTCCCAGCTTCATGCTAGAGGCTAACCATCAATTGGCACAGCCTGTATTGTCCTTTTTACACCACTATGTTTTTTTACACAGTCTAACTTTTCATGATAGTTGAAAAGATGAAAAGCTATTTATGGAATAAATAGCAACAAAAGCTAGCCAACTCTAGTACTGCATAATGGAGTTTTAATGTATTCTTCCTGTCGGCATAGTGTATTTCTGCGATAATTTTATGTGACAGCATAATTAAACTGGAAAACAATTCCCATTTCCTATGTATTTTATCTATTTATCATCATTTATTTCTTTACTTTTTTACTCTGCTATAAATAGTATTGTAAGGAGAGTTAAATAAGTTAAACCAATGCAATTACTTTTACAGATTGAAATTAACTTCATATATCAATTTATACTGGCTTGCATACAGCACCTACTATTTGCCCTGTACAAATAAATGCATTTGTTGCAGTATATTTATAGTGTCACTATGGTTTCCGTGTTTGCACTCCTTTTGAGTAATGTTCTGTATGTTAAAACTTGACATTTTAACAGTATTTTCAAACAATTTCATTCATTATCAAATAACCATTTATTACACTGTGGCAATTTCAAACCATTTACTGGACCCTCTAGACATTGCTGAACAATGATTTATCAGGGAATGTGCAAATTTTAATGCTTATCACAGCAAATACAAAAAGTAACATTAAATAGTGACTTGACAACAGCTCTGACTAAATTATCTTTTTTAATCTTGATGAGTCATTTTTAGTAATAGCTAGTTCAACAATTTGTAAATGTGCTGGAAATTGAGGGCACCATTGTAGAAGATTCTTTCTCATTTTATCAGTTATCTTGCATGCTTGGGGCATAAATTAAAGACTGTGGGACACAAGAGAAACATCTCTTATTGCCTTTAATTTTCTTATGGTGCCTATGATGCCCCAACACTGTCATGCCTGAAGTGCATTTCACATTTTATTTGAATACGTATCTAACAAACTCCACCTCTAGCCAAAGCTGTACTGAATTTTGCTTACCTACAAAGAATAACAGAAATGCAAGTGATTCTCAGTTTTGTAATCAGGAAAATCTCTTTTCCAATGTTCTAGTCAACAAATAGAACTGATTTAATTTCATATGTGACCACTAAGCTGCAAAATGCTGTGCTTGTTTTTCCATTCCTTATCTTCCCTATCTCTATTAAACTTGAGATTCACAGTATGTCAGTTAGAGAACAAGAGTGTTACCCACAAATGACAATTAAGTTTCTGGAAGCACATTCTCAGAGATCGTTGCAGAGCTCGCACATTCAGCTCAACATTAAATAAATTGAAAGGCTTAAATATTATATATGTCCTGGTTTCAGTTAGCATACTCTTAGCAGTTTCAGTGACTTGGAAGTACTTCTTATTTCTGAGGTTCATGTGTGGAGTATAGCTGATCACACATTAGCAATAAATTCAACTGATTTCCTGAATCAATCATTTAGTATTGCTGATTTTGATTAAAGTAACATGAAAAAGCTCCAGATAAAGCCAAGGTCTCTCTGTACCAAACTAGCAATTTAACATCCTCCTTGCTCAGAAGAATTTAAGAGTCTACACGGTTTACTGAATGAACAGGGGTAATAGGGATCCACACCTTTTATTGCGATCTTCCTTGGCCAAGGTCATTAAGAGAATAGAACCAGAAGGTACACACAGATCTTCTATATTTCAATCTTAATTTCATAAAGCATTCCCAAAGGTTTTGTAATCTGTAATTCAGGAGTGGTCATCAGGCCCACTTGTTCTGTTACACCTTCCAAGGTAGAGACAGCAAAAAAGAGCTTTTACTCGTTCACCTAATAGGGTAATCATTTAGTTTAAATTGCTACAGCTTTCAAATTGTGCTGTAAGCCAGACTGTAAATTGCAGGAGAAAGCAAGCAGGCAACTTGGGTTTTGGCTGCCTACATCAGAGCATGGTATCATCTTCTGTCAGAAAGATGTAGGTAGGCCTGCTAACTTCAACAGCCAGTGGAGCAACAGCTGAGATGCATCACAAATTGGGGCCCTTGTACATGCAGAAAGGTAAATCCTGTTTGCTTGCTGATGGTTTCACTACTCCTACTTTAAGGCCTCCCGTTCATTGCTTTTACCCATGCATACATGTATATTCTGTGTTTAATCCTAGATTCTCAAAGTGTCTGTATTTACTTGTGATGACAGTAGTGATTTTTAGGAGTCTGGGGCTTGTTTTGGTTTGTTTGTTTGTTTTGTCACCATCTCTACCAGTATTCTGTGAGAATTTTCTTAAACTAGTCGGATGTGACCAAGCCCAAAGCATTTGTTATGTCATGGTTTTGAAAATTTCTGTCCATCACTTTGGTACATTCAGAGAGTATATAAAGAAAGCTCATCCAGAATCAGTAAACAATGACTAAATAACCTTATTCCAGCAAAAACACAATAGAACTGCTTACCTGTCTTATCAAATGTCAGAGATAATTTTTAGAAGCTGTTCCTGTATCCCTGCATCACAGGAATACTTCACATGCTACTACCTAAAGTAAAACTGTCACTGAATTTAGGGGGGGCAGATCAGGCACGCACAGAAGCTTTGGATTATACCAATCACTTAATTTTAAGAGATGCCATATGATGCCAGAATGAATGAACAATTATAGCCATGTTGATCCTTATTTGAAAAACAAATGACCAGTTATAGCCTAGCCATGTCCTGTCCTTCCAAAAAAAACAAACAAAAAGTTGCTTTAGAAAGTGAAAATGTATTAAGACCCAGTGCAGACAAGAATAAGCAAGACCAACCACCCAAGAAAGTCAAGCTGAGATCAACCACAGGTTGGAGCTGGAGGTCTATCCAGAGCCAGGTACCTTCAAAGTATTTTTTACACAGGTATGTCTATAAGCAAACATATAAATGAGCACAATATAAGTAACACTGTGTTTGTCTCCTGTTACTTTAACCAGTCTAAATGATGAAGTCCGAAGTTACTGACGTATGTCCAGGTCAGTTCTTGTTGATCCAGACGTGATCTTAAGGTCACTCTTGTTACCCAAGCCCAATCTCTCCAGCCTGCCTGCTGGAGATTACCATTCCCTGATTTACATTGGTTAACCAAAACGTTTGGCTACTTTTTCACCTCTCTCTATGAAATCAAAGTTTTAATATATAAATATATATATTTTTGTGTGTGGTAGATTTTTGTATATTATAAACCCACAGAGGTTTATCAACAATCAGTTAGCAAGTGCCAGAGCTAAGGCCTGAAATTGGGAAAAAAAAAAAAAGTGTGTGTGTAATATAGTCAAGGTTAATGACACACTGTCAGAAATCAGAAATGTAAAAAGAGACTTTGTTTTTCCCATAATCAAATATAGTATTTCTACATGGCCAGAAGCCTGAGGCAGGGGTGGGGGGAGTCAGCAAGGTGAGCTTTTTACTCATTTGAGGAGATATTATACAAAACATTAAACCCAATGAGGATATCTGTCAAAATCTAAGATCTCTGCCATTATCTACCTTCCATTATGGATTAATTTGACACTAATTGCAAAAATGATATAATTTAGCTAATCTTCAAAAACTATCTGGACATTAAAATTAATGGCTAGGATAAAATCTAAGTATTCTGACTGAAAAAAAAAGCTTGGGGGGGGGACATGGGCTGAAAGAGAAAGCTTAGATGAGAATTACCTCAAAAAATCACATTTAATACAGAAAGCGACAGAGAACTAAAAGTGAATTTCAAGAAAACATGGCAGGTACCAGTGGAAGACATTTGAAAGAAATTGCATACTGACAGAGATGAGTGGAAAAAAACAAAGGCCCTTAGGATTGTATTT